ACAATTAGGTTAAAAAATTCACCCGATTCAGACTATCCTTAAATGAGCACTGATTCACCCGAGAGCATGACTTTTTCAAAACATGTAAGTGTTATTTTTGGACCACTCACATTAATGTTTCGTCTAATTTTCCCTCAGAGTTTCATCATCATTGTCCAAATCTTATGGCATATTTGTTGAGATATATGGATGTTCATTATTAAAATCTTGCCTTCCTTTGCAGTTGGAAAAGATTCGGCATTAGGTGTTATAAGTCCCAGAGCACGATAAATAAAAAATAACAACAAAATGACATAGAACTGATAGATGTTTTCTCCTGTGCGTGTCAGCCTTGGTCTACCAAGTTGCTATTCAGTAGGAAGAAACTCATTTTTCAGTTTCCATTTTAATTTCCTGACAAATAGGGCGATCATCCCAGGATTTTTTCTATGATCTATGTGTCGCCATAGCAACTTCTGTTTTAGAGAACAATAGAACAATAGAAAAGATTACTTTACCATAATTTTAATCATCCCACATTGTAGACATATTTAGAATTAAAAATATGAAGAGAATGACAAAACCCCTTAAAACACATTTCTTAGGAAACAAATAGTGTCGTATTCTTGTTTCTATGGCAACAGAGTTTTTTCTTTTTGTCATTTTTGTCATACAGATTACTTATCATACCAGGACCAAATCCTGAAAATTTGAATTCAGTATCTTCATTAGTATCTTAGATATATAGGTTTATTATAGTGTCCCCTGCAGATTTTATCGGATTATATAAGGAAAATGCTCTGAAGAGGGTTGCCCAAGGATGCCACTTAACAGTTCTGGTATTTTCCCAACCCTCTATTCATGGGAATAGTTAACCATTGTAAAGCTACTCATGGTTAACTGACAGAATTGATTGTATCTTCAACTAAGAAGACAATAAAATGTTAAAATCAGAAGAAAACCAAACCAACTTTCTTCTATTTACCAGGGGTAGGGCATTATAAAGTCATATTAAAATTACAAAATAGTACTTCATCACTATAATAGATGTATTACAATATCACACATAGCTTCGGAATGTTGTTAGAATACTACTTTGAGCTGTTTAAGTTATTATATTTTGCTTGGAGCTACAAATATAAAATAAGCAAGAAAAAAATGACAAAAATTGCATATTTTTTTCAAATTAATTGTATTTTTCCGAAACCAACAAAGATATCAACCTATAACTTTAGGGTAGTATTCATCTCTGTACTAACAATGTATGCTGTAGAACTCAGAACAATAGTTTATATATCCTTTGAGTTATGAACTAATATTATAGTACCCCCTAAAATAATTTCACAGGGGGGTAAAAAACGCTAAAATTCAGTGTCGTGACCACCCCGTTGAGCTGTCATCTTTTAATATCTTTATCAGCATGAAAAACTGATCCAGAAAAAATAGGTCTGTTGCTTTTTCTAAAAAATGCCTCAAAAACCCTTTCCCTTGAGATATTCTGAAATTGGAACCTGTCTATCATTGAACTGTCTGTGAACAGTTTTAGATCTATTGAATTCTGCATTTGAATCGGAACACCTTTCACAAGATTGTCCTTGTTTAGCCACCAGACTAAGTCTTGTCTTGTCATTTTGGACCATGGAATCAAAATGTTCATGTCCTTTGAGGCATTCCAATTTCTCTGGAGATCGTATTGCATCTCCCTCATGAACAATCTCCCTAATGGCACAATTTTCTCTGTTGCCGCTAGGAGACCCAAAATTCTTTTCCAGAATTTTGCTGTTTGTAAAGGTTTCGCTAGGAAACGCTGTATCTCTGTATCGAGTAACTCTACTCTGTATTGAGTGGGTAAAATTAGACCTTTCTTTAGGTCGTAAAGTGAGCCCAGGTAAGTAAGTTGCTGAGTTGGATTTAACTCTGACTTCTCCAGATTTAGGAGAAAGCCTAACTTTTTCGTTAAGTTGCACACAGTCTTTGTGTTCTCTGAACTTACTTGGTGTGATGATGCTATTATCATCCAATCGTCGAGATACTGGAACATCTTTATATTTATTGAATGAAGGAATTTTTTGATCTGAGAAACTATCTCTGTGAAAATTAAAGGAGCTGTTGCTAGACCAAATGGAAGACATTTCCATTGGAAGACTCCCCGATTTTTCACGGCAAATCTCAGATATTTCTGGTGAGACCTGGCGATAGGGACATGCAAATAGGCCTGTCGAAGGTCTATAGAAGTCATGTACATTCCCTTCTCCAGATTTCTTTTGATGATTTCTGGAGTGTCCATCTTGAATGATGGGACATTCAGAAATAGATTTAGAGTTGACAGGTCTGTCACGGGTCTCCATTTGTCGGATGACTTTTTTGGAACCAGAAATATTCGACTGTAAAACCCTGGGGAAGAAATGTCTTCTACTTGTTCTATAGCATTCTCCTCTAGGAGAGTGTTGATTAGGTCGAAAACTGCCGCTCTTTTTAGAGGATTGTGGAATTCTGACCAAAGGGGAGTCTTTTGTAACTTTGGCTTTTCTTTGAATGGAAGATAATAGCCTTCTTTTAAAAGGTTTATCACTTTTGCCGAAGCATTTATTTGACTCCATTCCTGCCAGAATTCCATCAACCTCCCACCCACTTTGTCGTTTGACGATGTATGGAGGTAATTTTCGACCTGGAATAAGTCACTGTTTATCAGTGGACTTTCCTCTACCGACAGATTTACCTCTGCCTCTTCCTCGAGAAAAACTCTTTGAACCCCGTCCTTTTCCACGAAAAGAACTGTCTTTGTTCTGGAACTTATTGGAAGTTTTGGGTTTGTTTTTGTCCTCCTTTTTAGAGGTGTAGTCTAGAATTTGATTCTGCGCTATATCATTTTTAGCTTTCCTCAAATTTTCTTTCACTTTGGCCAAGTTGTCTTGAAACAACTTCCCAGTTTGGGGCTCAAGAGTCATAAGTTCTTTGAGATCTGCAAAGGGGATATCTTTATCCGCCTTCATGGAAAGGTAAGAATGTCTCCTGCATGCTACTATTTGATTGAGCAAAAAAGCATTAAGACGATACCCATCCTCAATGCAGTGACCAGCTGCTTTAATTAATGTCAAAGCCTGTTCTATTTTCTGACATAAAGAAGGATCCATTCCTTCTTCTTTTAACAGATCCTCAAACAGTGGTTTAACAGAACCAATGAACCATTCAGTGTGAGAGGAAGTAACTAGATTTTCTCTAGACACACCCTCCCAATCTGTCAATGTCTTCAATGACAGATTCGCAAAATGAGGGTCTAATTTGGCCTTTTGCGAATCATTCTTCTTGAATGTTTTGGCAATGGACGAAAAATCTTCATCTATTTTGCAGGGTTCAAACTTATCCTCATCTGGTACGATTTGGTATAAGGCTTTAGGAAGTTTGTATCTTTTCTTACAAAGATTTGGTAAATCTTTGGAAAAGGCATCCTGGGGTAAGTCGTTAAAGATTTTGACTCCTTCAATCAAGTTATTCTTTACACCTGGGCAAAGTGGCAGTTGTAAAGAATTAGTCAATACTGAAGGTTTATCTTTCACTAGAGACCAAGATTTGACCTTATTCTTAGGTGTTGACATCTCTGCTATCTCAGGGAAAGATTTTTTAACGACTTCAGTGGCTGCCAAAAATTCTAATTTGGCTCTTGCCACCTCATTTGATGGCTTAGTATCAGGATCTTCCTGTTCACCATCATTCTCCAACTCTATAGTAACTGAATCATCATCTCTATTAAGAGAAATGGTTCTTGTAAGAGTAGGAGGTGATTTAAATTGTTGATCATCATTTATTTGAATGTGATCATCCTGTTCTTGTATGTGATCATCATTTACTTGAGTGTGATCATCATTCACAGACCATGGCCTTGACTGTGTTCTCTTGGAAATATTTTGAGGTATGTATGCAGATGATCCTGCATACATCGCTCTCAGAACTTGCTGGTCTTGCAAGAAATTCTGAAACATTTCCTGTCTTTGATCAATTCTCGGATTGATAAATTGATCTCTCTCCCATTGATACTTATCGTACCTGGGTGAATCTTTATCATTTCTGTAACGTCTCCTTTTAGGACTTATAGAAGGAGATTGTTTACGATAGTACCTCTTCTTTGGACTTAAAGAAGGAGATCTATGAGACCTATAAGCAGATCTATGATGTGAAGATTTGTGTCTTTTCCTCGGACTTGAGGACAAAGACTTTGATCTAGACCTGGACTTTGATCTATGTTTGTACTTGTATCTAGACCTGGACTTAGATCTAGACCTTTTACGATTGTGAAGTCTATCTTTAGATCTGTATCTCACCCTCGGACTTGAGGAATGAGAACGTGATCTCCTTGATCTAGACCTGGATCTAGACCTGGATCTCGATCTGTATCTACCCCTCGGACTTGAGGAAATAGATTTAGTTCTGTGACGTCGCCGTTTAGGAGAAGCCGAATCTCTGTGACGATGTTTTTTACGTCTTTTAAACGAAGTGTCAGAGTCTGACCCACTTGAAGTTGAATTACTTCGACTTTCTCTACGGCCACGCCGAACTTTTTCTAGAACTTTAGACTTCACAACCGGTGATTTACCTTTGTCCGAGCGCGCTGGGCTAACTCGCTTATCACCCTGGGTATTAACCCCTTCTGTTGTATCGAACTGCGTTGTATTCGTCGACATAGTAGACTTGTAACGCTCGTTTTTGGACCAATTTATCGCACTTTTGAAAATTTTGTGTGACTTTCAAAATGGTAGAAAAATGAATGGTGCGCATGCGCAACTATGACGTAAAGTGGGCGGGGCTTCCGGGAAACCGAAAGTGAAAGTGAAAGTAGAAAATAATTGTTCCAATAAAAGGTGACTATGGTAGCTTTTAGCATATTGTAATGACATAATTGGTAAGTGATATTAATTTACGTAGTAAAATCTGATATACTTACACACACATTCTGATCTGACAATATCCAGAAGTTTTTTATATATTTTTTCATTCTAATCCTCATTACAACTATAACAACTCACCTTATATCTGTCCAAGTGGAACTTGACATGTGCCTGAGAACTAAATGTGATCACGCCAACTCTGGTCTGGTCAGGTGATAGTTGGAGGTTCCATACAACATTCTGTACAAACTTCTTCACTCTGTAGAACTCATCTTCTTCTATGCTACCAGAGGTATCCAGTATGAAGACAACATCAGCCATAGTGGTACACTCTGTATAATAGGATTTTTAATAACATGTTAATTTCAGAGGTAAGATGAAAACAAGACATCCATTTCACTAAAATATGAATAATATACAAATAACACACAATACAAAGCATTCTTTCTTTGTCCAATCATGGGCTTTCAATTAGATTCAATTAGATTCTGGTTGAAAGCCCATGGTCTAATTCACAAAGAATAGATCTAGAGAGAAACACAAACTAATATACATTTCTTACAATTTTTTCATGCAAAATCCATTTCACTGGTAGGATAGACACAATCTCTCTATTTACAAAAATATGAATAATATATTATTAAAAACATAACACAAGACTTTTTGCTTTGTCCAATTCACAAATAACAGATTTAAAGGGAAACATCAAATAAAATCAACTTATTTCATTGGCAGGATAGAAAACAATTTCTAGATTTAATTACATAACTAATTCTCTCTCAATTAAAATAACAAAAAGAAAAAATGTATTTCAAGCAACAGATAATTGATTAAAAAGCCACCACACTAAGAAAATTAGATATTTTGCTTAACTAAATACACCGACCTCATCCATAATGTAAGTATGCAATCAAGAATGTCATGGTGTTCCCATGGACATGACCAAGTGAGTGAAGATGCGTGATACACTACCTAAGCTAGATCACTTTATTTACATATACAATATATGGGAGTACCATAACCACCATCATCAATTCCTTCAGCATACAATACATGCAGATCTCACCAACCAATTATTGGTGTACTATTACTTAAGCATGAAAAATATAGTTTTAATCATTTAATGGTATGTTACCCAGACCCTGCTTCCAAAATTAGACCATTATTTAAAGTGGCTTTATTTATGTAAATCATGTGTTAGCAATATCCTAGCAAGATTATTTCAAGTACTATAAGTATTCAAACAATAAAATAGTTCAATAACGTTGCAGAGATTAGCACTAGTCAATTTAAAAATGGGGAAGAGGCGCAGGCCTAAAAGTAACCCCTCACATCCCTAGTATTTTCCCCCTCTTATTACTCATGTGAACTTCAGCTACTCATCCCCTAGAGTTTTTGGATTACATATTTAGCATGGTAATATGGGTGTTACAGTGTCTTCTCCCCTTACATTATTTCACATTTTTTAAATTTTTAGTTCTAATACCCCTAACAAGACTTCCTTACTTACACTGACTGTTTTTATGTCCCCCAATATCCTTTTAAATGTTCAACACCCCCCCCCCCTTTCCCTCGCATTTTAAAGTTAAATGGTATAGCCCTAAATGAACTGCGCTTTACACAAGTGATTTATTACAGGATATTTAGCTGATTATGCATATTACAATTAATGATGTAACAATAATATACAAATCAAATTTTTGAAATTGAAATGTTACAAAAGGATGTAGCTGTTTATATGAGTATTACAATTGATGATAAAACAACAACAAATGAATTATAGATTAAATTCAAACACGCCTAACCATCGCGTAGGTAGGCGTCACCGTACAGCGTCAAAAAATAGCGGAGTACAGTTTTCTGTACGGTGACGCAAATTAACTGCTTTGAAGCAAAAACTATGACATGTATTTAAAAAAAATTAATTTGATGAAAACTAATACGATTTCATGTGAAATAAAAACAGCATTCTCTTAGGAATGGTTTCAACTTTGTAATTATGATAAATGTTTTATGAGCACTGTTCGGATTTTTTCTGAGTGAATCGGCCCACATAATCGACCAGAGTGAAAAAAGGTTGTTTTTTCACATTTTGTTTGGTTATTATTTTCCCTGCCGTCTGAGAGTATGGATTCTTTTTATGAGAATATGTATTTGTCGACTACACATTTTAGAACGGGCGAAGATTCAACAAACAACCATTCATTATATATATTTAAAAAATATCAAATTTGTACGGTGACGCATCAGCTGTACGTTGACGATTCATTATAATTTGTGAGAAGTAATATAAAGAATTCATTATTTATTACTTCAAATCGCACAAGTTTTAGTGTGGAAGTTCAAATGTTGATCCAATCAAGTATCCCTCGTATACATGTTGTCAAAATGATCAGTGAAAGTTACTGCAGTCACTTTTGCATTTAAGATGGCGGAAAGGAAGTGTCGATCTCGATATTTTTAGTTTTCATCGAATTCTTTATAGTTGGCGTTATGCTTTGATGAAGTATGAGACTAGACTTATATGAAATGGAAACTCTGGAGTATGATCATTTGTTCATATATAGTGCATGGGCGCTACAATTCAACGATATCTTCCATCGCTTAATGGAAGGTTACTGGAAATGTGTGATACGGTAGGGGTCATGAAACCAAAAACTCAGTATATTTGTTGCTGTGTTATTATTGTTTTAAAACAAGGGATGTCACAAGTAAATCTCATCTTGCACGTGTGACTTTTAGGATGAAAGTTGCAATATCTTGCATGGGGTAAAGATGGCTATGTAGGCTATCTTTGTTAGTCATATGAGAAAAGCCTGGTCTGTATTTCAAATGATATCAAAGCATTGCGTCAACTTTCAAATAGTTAATTCCATGAAAACTAAAAATATCAAAATAAATACTTCCTGTCCGCCATCTTAAATGCTAAGGTGACGGCTGTATTCTTCGCTTGATACTTATCAGTGATAATGTAGATCTGACGCTTCTTTACCTCTTGTTCGAACAGTAAGCTTAGAGTTGAATGTGTTTCAGTATTTAATCCTTGTTATCAGACATACGAATTGATCTCTTCAATGTTGAATGGGATACAACATTTGAATTTCCACACAAAAACTTATGGAATCTTAAGTTAATACTGAGGTCATATATTACACTTCATGAAATCTAAGGAATCGTCACCGTACAGCAGATGCGTCACCGTACAGATCTGATCTTTTTTAAATAAATGCACTGAATGATTATTTGCCGAATATTAATCTGTTCTAAAATGTGTAGATAACAAATACATATTCTCATAAAAATAATCCATACTCTCAGACGACAGGGAAAATGATAACCAAACGAAATGTGAAAAAACAACCTTTTTTCACTCTGGTCGATTATGTGGGCCGATTCAGTCAGAAAAAATCCGAGCAGTGCTCGAAAAACTTTTATCATAATTTAAGTTTAAGTTTATTCCAATTTTAACATGTTACATACATATAATCATATACAATTTGACGCAAAGCGTATATTGTAGTTCAAAGATCAAAAGTCAATATTTGTAAATACAATTATTTTAATGGAGTGCAGGAATGCAGGAAAAGTGAGATGGTAGAGTCTGCTAGAGTTACATATAGTAAATTAATAAGTTGATATAATATGATGTTTAAGTGCTGCCTTGAACATAACTGTACTGACACTGTGCTTAATTTCATTAGGTAGTTTATTATAATATGATGGTCCAATATATTTAAGTGAGTCCCAACCAAACTTAATGCGGTATTTAGGTTGGACTAAAAGGTGTTTAGATCTTGTGTCATGGCCATAGAAAGTTAAAACCATTCCTAAGAGAATGCTGTTTTTATTACACTTGAAATCGTATTTATTTTCATCTAATTATTTTTTTTAAAACCCCCATTATAGTTTTTGCTTCAACTCAGTTAATTTTCGTCACCGTACAGAAAACTGTACTACTGTATTTTTTGACGCTGTACGGTGACGCCTGCTTACGCGATGGTTAGGCGTGTCAAAAGGAAAATGAAAAGAAATCACTCTGGTATACTTACCTCCTAAGATTAGAAAATAATAACAAAGTATACAAATTAAACAAAATAATTATGAAAAACAAAATTATATATTCAGGTCTGTAATCTACATACTAAAAATTCAATGTAACTGAAAATAAAAAGTAATCAATCAATAAAAGTCATCAATTGAGTGAACAAAAAATGTTTACAAAATGCAATGAGTAAGGGGAGGCATCAAAAGTTTGAAGTTGGATTGGAAACTGAATATATCTAGTTTTGAGTTTGACCCCCCTCCCCCAAAAACCAAATTCCACGAAAGTTCATCGCTGACTTCCGGTTTGAGAATTTGAAAAATTATTTCTAAAAGCGATCTAGTTTTTTTTAATTCCTATCGTAATTTGCGACTTTTAACAACTATTGATAGAATAGAATCCATTGGAATGATCTTGACGAAGAAAGCATCAGGTAAATATTTATTTTTAAACATTCCAAGGCATTCCGAGTCAAAGTTGCAAAAACTGAACTGTTAGCAAACTGAAATGACTTGGAGCCCCCTCCCCCTCTTACTAGATTTATTGAGTTTTCAATCCGACATTGAACTTTTGATGCCTACCCTTAAAGTATTGAAATGATCACAAATGGACACTGTACCATGGTAATATAAGTGTATACATGTAATTATAACATGATGACCTACTGTAGTAATAGCTAAACTAAAAATACTGAAAGAACATTCACTTGAAATGAAGAACTAAATGATCCTCCACACAACACAGAATGTTGGAATAAGTGTTTCCCCCCTGACTGAGTGAAACAATAAAGCAAACAGGAAGCCTTTCTAAAAATTGTTTACTAATCACAGATCCTAGAATTACATTTCTACATGGCAAATTTTATTTTTGCATAATTTTTAATTTTTAGAAATGCCGCATAATACATTCATCAGCGCATGCATATTCATATTTTTTGCGTAATTTACACTTTTCTCAGTGAATATCTCACCTAATATGATGTTTCGCTGCTTTTCTAAATCTTCATAATCATTAGTTAAAGAAATAATGTCTAAGCTTAACAAAAACTCTGCAAGTTTAAATTGCCCATACTGGAAATGGTGATTCATATGGTGAGATTGGACCAGTGCTATCACATTTGCATTTTTCCCCCACATAATTTCAATATTTGCCTGCATCATTCTAGGATCTGTGCCTTATATTGATTCAATAAATATCTAAAATCTTACTTCTCTCGCATTTCTTCCCTGAGAAACCAGGAGCACATTGACAGTGGTACTTGTTCAGTGCAATTATACAGGTTCCTCCATTCTCACAGGGTTTCTTGGCACACTCTGTCATCACTGCAGAAAAACAATAAGAGTTTGATATTAATTTAATATACCTATACGCGCCAACTTTTAACGTGCGAAATATTCTTATCTCCGCGTTGGAGAGTTCAGTTTCGTGGTACAACTTTCTCAACATCCGGGCACTTTCCCATTGGAATAACATTGGCTGTGTTTTTCAATGACGCATTATGACTTTATTAGAGGTTTATCATGAATTATATTTGCACATACTATAGGTATGATCATTATAAAGACATTTGACAAGTTTTTTAAAAATATATTCACCAGAATCGTCAAAATCCTAAGTTTAAAATTCAAGTGACGTCACAGATTTCCCAGAAGTTGCTCAGTTCCCGGAACTTGCTCAGACGCCATAGAAAAACTAATCGAAGCAAATTGAATTTCCATCTTCTTTTCTAATTATTGTCTGGATTATAGAATAGTATTATACATATGTACTAATGTTGGATCGGGATAATGCCTATGAAGTTTTGTTTTGCGGACCAATAGAAAATTGTCCATTTTATCGTGTTGCATTGCGGGAAATATTTATGTTAATGACCAGTAATTTCCTAACGCGAAAAGGACTATTGAATTTAAGGTGGGATAAGAAAATGCTATAATCATATTGGTTTGGAGATCCGAGAAGCCCCTAATTTTGAAATACCTTTGTAATAATGGCGATATATTGAATTCTCATTGGCCTATAGTGTTCAATGCTTGAAATAGTAATGTACTTATAGCATAGCATTAATAGCTTGGGTTTAGAGACGTCACAGACCAGGCACTTTTCTTGCATTAAATCTTTGAAAACTGCAAGTGTTCCCCAGGTCCAACCAAATCACTCAAGAGGAATGAAACCTCATATCTGACTGAATCCCTGATACACCTCTTGTCTTTTACATACCTCCACAAATCTGGCTCGTGACCCTCTCGATGACCTCTTGTCTGGTGTCATCTCCAGTATTATGGAAGATGTTCTGACCCTCAATGTCACTGGCAATCTCATTCAGCTCACTCTTATCTGCTCTGCCAAGGTTGATACCAATCCCAATGATGTGAATGCCTTCTGACTTAGCTTCTCTAGCCTGAGCTATCGTCACCTCTTCATTGAGTATCCCACCAGTGATGAAAACACCTACAAATGTAGGACATATAGTCATTTGCTTACTTATTGATAACCCTTAAATATATTAAGATAGTAGATACATTCAGACACCTAAGTCCTTTAAACGATTTCCTTGATGGCATTTGTAATGGTCTAGTATGTAAACTTAATCTGACCAATCACCATAACAGTCTTTACCTATATTCTGAGCATCAGCTCTATCTCCGAGTTTCTTATCGAATGCATCCTCAGTGAGCAATTTCAATCCATCGGCAGCGATCCACCCACATAGTAGAGACTAGACACTGCAGACATGACCTTGCCCTTGTCTGTCCCTTCACTCAATGGGAGTACAATCCTAGCATAGTTACTGTATGTTATCACACCAACCCTGTAATGAAAGATACATAGTTATTAGATCCTCCCCTCACAGTAGAGACACTGCAGACATGACCTTGCCCTTGTCTGTCCCTTCACTCAATGGGAGTACAATCCTAGCATAGTTACTGTATGTTATCACACCAACCCTGTAATGAAAGATACATACTTATTAGATCCTCCCCTCACAGTAGAGACACTGCAGACATGACCTTGCCCTTGTCTGTACCTTCACTCAATGGGAGAACAATCCTAGCATAGTTACTGTATGTTATCACACCAACCCTGTAATGAAAGATACATAGTTATTAGATCCTCCCCTCACAGTAGAGACACTGCAGACATGACCTTGCCTCCCTTCACTCAATGGGAGTACAATCCTAGCATAGTTACTGTATGTTATCACACCAACCCTGTAATGAAAGATACATAGTTATTAGATCCTCCCCTCACAGTAGAGACACTGCAGACATGACCTTGCCCTCATCTGTCCCTTCACTCAATGGGAGTACAATCCTAGCATAGTTACTGTATGTTATCACACCAACCCTGTAATGAAAGATACATAGTTATTAGATCCTCCCCTAACAGTAGAGACACTGCAGACATGACCTTGCCCTTGTCTGTACCTTCACTCAATGGGAGAACAATCCTAGCATAGTTACTGTATGTTATCACACCAACCCTGTAATGAAAGATACATAGTTATTAGATCCTCCCCTCACAGTAGAGACACTGCAGACATGACCTTGCCCTTGTCTGTCCCTTCACTCAATGGGAGAACAATCCTTGCATACTTCTGCAATGTTCGCTCATTATTACCCAGTCAGCGCATTGTTCAGAATGCAATGGATGCTGTAACACTTCATCAGGAGAATGTAAGCCCCAGTAGCAATTGTTCTTGGAATAAACTTGTCAATTCAAAAAGAAATGTGTGTAGGAGAATCATCACAACTTTGTTCACCGTATTGAATTATGCATAGAGAGGGGAGGTGCACATTTGGGGCATGTTTTATAAGGAACGGTAGTTTTTGACACAATTGGCAGGTAATCATCAAACTTTCACAACAAAATTCACATTGAATGAACTAAACAATTCGGAAATTTCAAGACAAAATATGCTAAATTAATCGAGTTATTCAACTCTCTTGCGGTCCCGTTTTTTTGGACACCCTGTAATAAGAATACAGGCAAGAGCAATAGAGTCAAGATTTCCAATCTGAATTCAGGCAAAAGCAGTAGACTAGAAAATTGAAAAATTAATATAATGTTTATCCAATCGTTCATACTAATAAATCTGTAAGATGAATGATGTCAACTAACACTACCTTTTTATTTATTAAGAACAATTAGCAGAAATAAAATTTAAAAGAAAGGAAAATCTGGACTGTGCAGGTGAACAATTTCGTTTCAAGCTTTCATTTAATAAGGTATTGATGGGAGATACATGATGTTATGATGATTTTAAGTCAATAATTACAAGTTACTTGTTATGTAACATTTTATGTATCAGCAATGAATGCGTTTGAAAAAAGATTATTTGGTTTAAAACAGTGAAAACTATATATATAATACTTGTCTGCTTATTTTCATTGTTTAAAACATTTATTCCTTCAGGGCACCATGGCAAACTCAATTGCATTGCATCTTTTGAAACTACTTTTTATGGTGCGACTGGCACAAGCTTTGGACCTGTCGGATATGGGCATCAAAACGTAAGTTTAAACATTCTCATATACTAAATGAAATGCTCTGTATAGCTCACTCTAGAGTATTCCTTATACTGGAATATACTAAACCTGCTAGTGACTACACTGTCTCTGAATAATAAACTCATATCATTAAAGTGCTAATAGCTGATTCTCATCAAAAATAACCCAAAAATATGTTCATTTTCTTTCTGTAGTTATTAAAGGTTCAAACATACTGTACAGCGTATACTCATGTACTGTCCTGGTTACTTGTGAAGGATTTTTCAGGATTTATTTTTCTATAAAAAAGGTATACATCCAAGTCTATTGATTGTTCTGTTTAGGGAGATCCGTTATGTAGATGCTTCCAAACTATGCAACCCAGGATGTAAACAAAATGAATTCTGTTGTGTAGATACCGAAAAAAGCAAAAAACAAAGATTCTGTACTCCAAAAAATGGTGGCAAGAATTGCTATGAAGCTATCTTAGGGTTGGTACCTATTTCATATTGATTCTGTACTTTCATGGTTGGTACTTATTATATTGATTCATGGTTGGTACCTATTTCATACTTGGTAATCCAATGGTTGGTACCTATTTAATATTGATTCTGTACTTCAATGGTTGGTTTCTATTTCATACTGATCAAGTCATCAATATTATATGTATCATTTTCTCTTACAGGAGTGTGCAAAAGGTTGGTCTTGTATATAGTCCTAAGTTATTTCTGTTAAAATATGTATACTACTTTTGAAAAACCTGCTTTATTTCAGCAAGACATTTCTGTTTGGCATTGAAGGAGCATGGGAGCCATATGCATTTCAGTAAGTACAAGAAAACAACAGTTAAGACCAGTATACATACCAGAAAGTACCAGTAAGGACCGATATGCATAGAAGTACAGTAAGTACCACTTAACATTATATTTAAGACCAGTATGCATATCACTACAGTGTTTTCACTAGCATGGGAGCCATATGCATTTCAGTAAGTACAAGAAAACAACAGTTAAGACCAGTATACATACCAGTAAGTACCAGTTAGGATCAGTATGCAAACCAGTAAATACCAGCAAACATGCTAGTTATGACAAGTATGCATACAAGGAAGTGCCCGTACAGTTATTGCCATTATACGTATCAGGAAGAGTCAGAAAACATGTCAGTTAGTACCAGTATATATATACCAGTACAAGTACCAGTACCAGTAAGGACTGATATGCATAGAAGTACAGTAAGTACCAGTTAACATTAGATTTTAAACCAGTATGCATACCACTACAGTGTTTTCATTAGGGTCTGAAAAAAGTCGGCCCCCGAGACCCCACATTTTAAAAACCTGGGTCCGGATCAGAAAAAGTAGGTCCCAAAATATGACTTAAATGTTAAATTTCAATTCAGTTTATCACATCTTCCTCCAAAAATAGTGATTTTTATAGGCTGAATGAATCTAACTTTAGACTATGATTTGGGATATTTGAGGTTTGTTGTCCTTTTGACTTATATACATGTAGGCTAGTAAGTACCATTTTAAACATATACCTATAATATATATATAACTTGTAAACTGGTAAATATAACAGTAAGTACCAGTAAACTAACTAAAGTACCATTAAACATATCAGTAAGTAATAATATATGAAGGTCAACCAAAGGTTAAAGGTCAAAACTGAGGTCAGATTTGAGTTCCTGAGAACTTGTAGATGAAAAAAAGTTTGGTCAATTTAGAACAAGTTGAAATTTGGTAGTCAAAAATTTCAAAATTTGATCTTATTCAATTTTGAGTTTTAATATTTCAAAACTGGTGCAAAATTTTAATAGATAGTCAATTGCTAATATGTGTAGAAACTTAAGAGGAATATATATCCTGACTTTCATCAAAAAATATTGATTTGTAGTCATCAACCTTGAGAAACTTAGAAAACACAGTTTATGATTTAGTGTGATGACCTTGACCTTTGACCTTGCAAATTTGACTTTTTAGACCTCAGTAGGTCTAAAGGATTTGAGAAACTTTTGAGAAACTTTTGACCTTGACCTAGATAAAAGTTTCTTTCCCGCCAAGTTCAGCCAAGGTTCCTGGAAGGTGGGTGTCGGAGATAGTTAAAAGGTAGTAGAAAGAAGGAGAAAAGGTGTTAGGAAGAATAAAGAATAAATAAATAAAGAATAATATTTATAAAATTGGGGCCTCCTAATAAAAGAAAGTGCCACAATACAAACCAGTAAGTACCATCATACATCCCATTGTATATACACTTAACTACTAGTTTACATATCAGTAAGTACCAGTATACATATCAGTAAACACCAGTACACATATCAGAAAATACCAGTATTATATCTAATTAAAGAAAGTGCCAATATACATACTAGTAAGTACCAGTAAATATACAAGAAAGTACCATCATATACTAGTATTTATCCCATACTTGGACATGTAACAGGTACGAGCGGGCAGATACAGTATATCTGCCCGCTACGTCATAATCGCCGCTCGCATATTTGTCCATAATTTGTAACGTTTGCGTAATGACTGTAAACAACAATGGAGAAAACAAAGACAATCGGGATCTGTTTGATGGTTTAAAAAGGGGAAGGAGCATCCACTTAATCAATCAAAAATTCGAGAAAATAAATGTGGGAATATTTGAGAGAACAGGAAAATCCGCCCACGGCCAAGAAAACAAAACTGGACATGAATATTCTAAATATTTCCACGATTGAACAATGTGAACCAGATGACCAAGATTGGTATGGGATAAACATATTATCCTATAGTCGGTTCAGGATATTGGGATTATCCCTTGGCCAATATAAATAGGGGTTATGCACTGGGAGGTTTTGATACAGGGAATATCCCGAGGGATATACAATATATCTTCCTGAGGGACCGAAGGGAAGATATATTGTATATCCCAAGGGATATTTCCTGTATCCAAACCGACTGTGCATAACTATTGTATTCCATACCTGATGAGGTTTGAAATAATAAGCATGTATCCCATATGCTCTGGTGTGTTTACTTGCAAAATATGTTATCATTTTCAAAAAAAATTCAATTTTTTTCCAAATTTGATTTCAATTTTTTCAAAAATGAAAAAAAAAATCCAAAATTTTTTTTCACATTTTTTTGCATAATTTTTTTCAGAATTTTTTTTCAAATTTTTTTTCAAACTTTTTTTACCGAATTTTTTTTCAAATTTTTATTTTCAATTTTCTTTCCAAATTTTTTCTTGAGCGGGACATACGATTTATATGTCCCAGAGCTCCGTTGGAGCGGGACATACGAAAAATATTTGCCCGGATATGGAATATATTCCCGGTTGATATGTCTCTGAAACCTCATCAGCTATGGAATACTATATTATATTTGCCTCGGGATAATCCCAATATCCTGAACCTCATATAGGATAATCTCTATATACCAGGTCGTTCAATAAGTTCACGGAAAAACGCTCTCATTTCAACGATTTTTGATATTTTCTCATGAAATTTTCACACAATGTATAGAAAATACTTTCTGATTGATCCTTAAAATATCAGCGTCTCTTATTGATTGGTCAAAAAAAGGGTTATTATGGTAACTTGACTTTTGGGTAGGCGGGGCACTTTTTACGTCACATTATTCATTAGAAAAACTACAGAAAAATAGGCAATTTATGAGTATATCACATCTCCGCCTTCTACTTGTACATGATATAACTTAATGTAATTGTTACAACTATTGTCCCCTAAGGTTTCAGAAGTATTCTCCCTCATGTTTGATGCACAGTAGCTTGCATTCAACCCATTGATGATACGGTGCTCTGAAGCCATTTGGAAAACTTGTTTGAATGGCAATCTTGACTGCAGTCGAAAGTAGTTTCATTGTTCCATGAAGTGCAACTAAACTACTAGCTGATCCTTCATCCTGGTGAAAAAGCAAAATCAAGGATTGTCTCATCTGGAGAGTATGTAACTTGGGCACGGGGTGCCATCGAATAATTTTGGCAACGTACCGGAGAACGACATTTTACTAAGAAATGGCAATAATTTAGCACAATATATTTTTAACTAGAGTTCTATTTTGATTTTGACAAAAGTAAGTATTCCATGCAATAACTATTTCATTCATGAGTTTGTAGGAATTCTGTTGGAACCCAGTTCTGATCAAGTACGAAGTTATTGAAATCGGCGCAGACGGACTTTACTCCGAAAGATAGTTTTTCGATTATAACTTTTCACAACATTTAGGTATAGACTTTTGAAAAAAGTACAGAATAGTCTTTATACTTTTGAATAATTCTGTTATTTCCCATTCACACGACTCTGATTTGTTTAATTTAAAAAAAAGTTTTAAAAATATTACTTAGGAACGTAACCGGAGCTGGGAACGTAACCGGAGCAGATCAGTTGAATTATTTAATCAAAAAAATTAAAATATATGATTTGTAACATGGTCATTTTCACATTTATTTCACGTTTATATTTCTACTTTTCATATTGACCAATCCCCATCCATGTCATTTTAACAGGTCCCTTCATTACTTTACACCAGTGTTTCAAATATTTAATTCCAATGTTTTCAATTCTTTTGTATACTTTCTACTATATCTTCCTTTATTTAAAGCAATTTTTAGCTTTTCATGGTGTGATTGTTTCGTACTGTTTTTGTATTCCATATAATAGCATTCACTCACATGTAGCTGAGTTTGGGTCTTGGCCCAGCCTAAGTAGTTGCTTAGAGTTAGATGATAATGTAGATTGTACAGAGAACGTTTGAAGTTTATTTGAAATAGACTATTTTATATATTTTAACTTTAGTTATCTGTTACTTTTATTTGCCACCCACGGGCCTTACACTCGCCCCGTTACAGATTTAAAGCACATATACTAATTTAAAAACATACGGGATTGTTCGAATGCGTATTTATTACATTTTATTTAAAGAAAAAAAATGTATCCATTGTGAAAAATTAAATTTGGTATTTACCATGCATAAGTGCACTTACCTTAGAAAGGCTATCAGACATAGAACAATCATTGTATGGAGAATGAAGTGATTAAATGTAGTAAGCAAATAATTCCATTTGATTTCACCCATTGTATTTGTTCAGCGAACTATTAGAACCCACTCTGTTATACTAATTTCTAATTAATTTCTAATTTATACTAATTGCCATGCATTGATTTTCCTGTAAGTGAAGGGTAATAAATGCTCATTTTAACATTCATATGTGTTTGTAAATAATATATATGCTTTAAATCATATATTGTATTTTTTAAATTATATAATTCCACTGATCTGCTCCGGTTACGTTCCCAGCTCCGGTTACGTTCCTAAGTAATATTTTTAAAACTTTTTTTTTAATTAAACAAATCAGAGTCGTGTGAATCAGAAATAACAGAATTATTCAATAGTATAAGGACTATTCTGTACTTTTTTCAAAAGTCTATACTTAAATGTTGTAAAAAGTTATAATCGAAAAACCATCTTTCGGAGTAAAGTCCGACTGCGCCGATTTCAATAACTTCGTACTTGATCAGAACTGGGTTCCAACAGAATTCCTTCAAACTCATGAATGAAATAGCCATTGCATGGAATACTTACTTTTGTCAAAATCAAAGTAGAACTCGAGTTAAAAAATATATTGTGCTAAATTATTGCCATTTCTTAGTAAAATGTCGTTCTCCGGTACGTTGCCAAAATTATTCGATGGCACCCCGTGTTGGGACAGCTTTGCCATCTATTTTGCCAGTCATTTGTGATGGTTTCCTGCACAATATTAGCAGTGTGATCGGCTGCATTATCATGATGGAAAAAAGTTTGGCTGAATGGTTAAGTTTTAATCAACTTACCATAGCATTACTCTTTGTTGATTTTCTGGTCCACTGGTACAGCATTGACTAGCACGATTTCAGAAATGTTTGTGATAACAATGAACATCAATTTTCCCTCAGAACATTTGTAATTTAAAAAAGAACAAATAAAAATAGGGATCCTTCATTTGCACACATTGATCGCTTTCTGTAATGGTAAATTGTGTGACGTAAAAAGTGCCCTGCTACCCAAAAGTCAAGTTACCATAGTAACCCACATTTTTGACCAATCAAATCAGAGATGCTGATATTTGAAGAATCAATCCTAAAGTATCTTTAGCACATTGTGTGAACATTTTATGGGAAAATATAAAGAATCTTTGAAATGAGAGCATTTTTCTGTGAACTTATTGAACGGCCTGGTATATAACTACCAGTTTACATATCAGTAAGTACCAGACTACCAGTATACATTTCAGTAAGTGCCATTAAAATTATAAGTAATCACCATTACATAAACAAGTAAGTACCACTACTGATACCAACACATATACATATATACCACAAAATACCATACATACAAGTTAACATATACCACTTTTATAAATGTTATGTGATTTCATTTATATTCTAAAGTCAACATTTATATAAATTTCAATATTTACCACAGAGACAATAAAACAGGAGAGGCCATAGGATTCCTGCATGATGTTATCAAAGCACTGTGTGCCATTTGTGGCAAGAAATGTGACACTGTGTTCATTGCAGAACACCTTGACCGCTGTTATGACCCAGAGAAAACAATGGGTGAAGGTATGTTATTCTATCATCTGTCTAAACGTCATATGGTTGCTATAACCAATCATAAACATTAAATAGACTCTATAACATAACAAAGCACAATCAAGACCCCTTGGGACATTTTTGCAGACTGAATTTCATCACATATTCACCTATCTACCTACCAATGAAGTAGTTCCAAATCCCCCGCTTTATTTGCGTATATTCATGTGTGGTCTGATTTATTTAATAAATTGGACCATTTTGATGTTAGTTACAATAATAATAATAAAAAAAGTGAAATATTTTTCTTGTGTTAGGCAGATAACATTTTCTTTTACTGAACATATTTTAATTTGTATAACTATCAGATATATAAGGGTAATATGAAAAAACACTGAAAGTCTAAGGGAATTTTGGGTAGCGATTTTTTTGTAATACCCTGACATGTTATTTCCCCGAATCAGCCACCTTGTGGCCAAACTGGCAACCACCTACTCGCATATGAGTAATTGATATGTAAACTTTATACATTCATTTCGATTAATAAGCACTTTTGGTGCAAATGTATGTCCTATCAACTTTATTCGTCACATTGCCTTCCTTTATCAATAATTTTGTCTGGCTCATTTTTTCTTGGCAAATGGTGAATGGAAACTGATATTTGGAACTCTGTATACTGATGTATTCCACTTTACAGATTTTACTGTGAGTCACCTAAATAAAATATCCATTATCATAAGAATGAACTTTAAAGGTCTAGATAATCGGCACTTTGATGCTTGTATTGGCTGGGCAAGTACTCAATACAGGAGAAACACATATTCATTCTATGGGGCACTTGTGGAACCTACAAAGGCTCAAGTGTATGTGAAGAAAGGCTCTGGGATGTCGAAAGTGGAGCAGCTAGAAGGAAAAACAATAGGTAATAAATATGTAATCTTATATCACAATGAAACATCTAAAACTTATAGTACTCCACCAGTGATTTGCTGATTTACTACTTGGCTCAATCAACCTCACTATAAACATACTATGATAATTCAATATTTGGGTTTATAATCACAGGATTACTATTTTTCATCACATACAAGACAAAAAGTAGTTGCACACAGTGCGGCTCCCAAATTCTTCTCTAAAGTAGACTCACTCCGACTAGATAACATAATATCATACCTCGATGTTTTCGTCATGCATTTATCAATCGGATGTCAATACTAATACCATTTTGGAAACTGATGGCAATACTCAAGTCAAAATCTAAAGGCTTTCTGTTACTGACTGGTCTTCATAGTCAGAGAAAATACTTTTTATATTCATATAATACTCCTACATGGTTAGAAAGCAATGAGTGTTTGTTTTTGAAGGAAAAGGTAAAGAAATATTTCTGGATTGGAAGCTCATATGATGCATTGCGAGTGTCAAATGGTTACTGATACACTTCGGTCAGATTAAACATTTATTATTAAGTTTTTAACTCATCATTAGAAGGTTAATCAAGAGCAGTAAGGGAATTAAAGGTTGGGAGTATGTGCACCTATTACACAAGACAAAATCGTATGAAATAACTTGCAATGAGCTAGTTATGAAGCTTGTTATTATGGTCTTACTAGTGGTTATTATTGAGTAATGGTACAGGTATTCGATATGGTATTGCAGCTTACACTTAAGTAATGGTACACGTATCCTTGGATTTTAGGCCCGAATACCGAGGTTTATTTTTTTAATTATCGTGTATTATTATTTTGTGTTAATATTAGTTAACCATCTAACTATTGGCATGATATGATAACCTTGTTATATTAATATAGCGCATAGGCGTAGCCAGGGGGATACGATGAATGCGATCGCACCCCCCCCCCCTCCATAACCAATGAAAGTAGAACCATTAGATAGAAGAAAAAAGTCTCAAAATGCTTTTTATTTGAAGCTTCTAGCTCGATTTTGAACGAAGTTGCACCAATTTTTGTAAAATTCAAAACAAATCATCAAAAACATTTTTTTATGCCACGATCGCCCCCCCCCCCCCCTCCCCCCGACTGAAAGCTGGCTACGCCACTGTAACGTGTAATCAATACGCTACATTTTGTATGTTCAATTTGTATACTAAAAACTGTTATTAATAACAGTTTGTAGATTAAAGATCCTTATTTAAAGACAACGTCGTCTTTATGAATTATTTAAGACATCAGTATTCTCAGAAATTGATTATCCGAAGCTAATACCAAGTTCTGACCAGCAGACGAACAATTTCAGACGTGGGCTAAGTTTGTTTATTTAACGGTTAG